GTGAACAGTATTTAGATAAGGCTAAAGAGGTCTTTGTGGCATTTATGGATTGGGAAAAGGCGTATGACAGGGTGGATAGGGGGGCAGTGTGGCAGATGTTGCAAGTGTATGGTGTAGGAGGTAGGTTACTGAAAGCAGTGAAGAGTTTTTACGAGGATAGTGAGGCTCAAGTTAGAGTATGTAGGAAAGAGGGAAATTTTTTCCCAGTAAAAGTAGGCCTTAGACAAGGATGTGTGATGTCACCGTGTTTGTTTAATATATTTATAGATGGGGTTGTAAGAGAAGTAAATGCGAGAGTCTTGGCAAGAGGCGTGGAGTTAAAAGATAAAGAATCACACACAAAGTGGGAGTTGTCACAGCTGCTCTTTGCTGATGACACTGTGCTCTTGGGAGATTCTGAAGAGAAGTTGCAGAGATTGGTGGATGAATTTGGTAGGGTGTGCAAAAGAAGAAAATTAAAGGTGAATACAGGAAAGAGTAAGGTTATGAGGATAACAAAAAGATTAGGTGATGAAAGATTGGATATCAGATTGGAGGGAGAGAGTATGGAGGAGGTGAACGTATTCAGATATTTGGGAGTGGACGTGTCAGCGGATGGGTCTATGAAAGATGAGGTGAATCATAGAATTGATGAGGGAAAAAGAGTGAGTGGTGCACTTAGGAGTCTGTGGAGACAAAGAACTTTGTCCTTGGAGGCAAAGAGGGGAATGTACGAGAGTATAGTTTTACCAATGCTCTTATATGGGTGTGAAGCGTGGGTGATGAATGTTGCAGCGAGGAGAAGGCTGGAGGCAGTGGAGATGTCATGTCTGAGGGCAATGTGTGGTGTGAATATAATGCAGAGAATTCGTAGTTTGGAAGTTAGGAGGAGGTGCGGGATTACCAAAACTGTTGTCCAGAGGGCTGAGGAAGGGTTGTTGAGGTGGTTCGGACATGTAGAGAGAATGGAGCGAAACAGAATGATTTCAAGAGTGTATCAGTCTGTAGTGGAAGGAAGGCGGAGTAGGGGTCGGCCTAGGAAAGGTTGGAGGGAGGAGGTAAAGGAGGTTTTGTGTGTGAGGGGCTTGGACTTCCAGCAGGCATGCATGAGCGTGTTTGATAGGAGTGAATGGAGACAAATGGTTTTTAATACTTGACGTGCTGTTGGAGTGTGAGCAAAGTAACATTTATGAAGGGATTCAGGGAAACCGGCAGGCCGGACTTGAGTCCTCAGATGGGAAGTACAGTGCCTGCACTCTGAAGGAGGGGTGTTAATGTTGCAGTTTAAAAACTGTAGTGTAAAGCACCCTTCTGGCAAGACAGTGATGGAGTGAATGATGGTGAAAGTTTTTCTTTTTCGGGCCACCCTGCCTTGGTGGGAATCGGCCAGTGTGATAATAATAATAAAAAATAACTACACCCCACAATAGAATAAACATAAATATGAGATGTGGTAGCAGACGACTTGCACAAGTGACGCCATATTAGAAATGATAATAATAATAATAATAATAATCACCGAGTCTCATTAAATGTTGTATATTACGTTAATATACACATTTTCATTAATCCATCCATGATATTTTTTTCAAAATTATATGATAAACACGATACATAACATAAAAAGATGATAAATACACCCCACAATAGAATAAATAAACATAAATATGAGATGTGGTAGCCAGATAACTTGTACAAGTGACGGCAAGAATAACATTTTCTCTAATCTAACATAAGAGAAAATGTGTTACTGGGGGTAACTGTAGAAAATTATTCCTTTCGTATGTATGTAAGTAAGTTTATTCAGGTATACACAAATACAGTTACATAGATTATCATACATAACAACATATGTATAGAGAACCTAGGATAACCCAAAAAAGTCAAAGTGACTTATTTCCATTGCCTTTACTCAGAGCATCATTTCTTCTCAAAATGATGTTACATGAGAATGGGAGTGTTCTTCTTTATTTATTCTACCGTATCAATGTAGAGACAACCTGTACACAATGTAACTTGTACACAAACCAGACGTGTACACTTTGTTTACAAAACTTACCTTCGCCTGGTTTGTTTACATAACTCTGCGCCTGTCCTCTCTCATGCACTCATTCTTTCTCTCTCTCATTTATTCGTTTTATCTCATTTACTTACTCCTGACCCTACATTAAGACTACAAATATTTTAAGGTAAGTAATGAGTGAACTGTATATACATTTTATCGCTCTGGGATGCTTAAATATCATAGAATTGTATGTGTGGGTGGGGTGGCCTGGTAAGGTAGCCTGGCTGACTACCATACATACCACACTTGATCTCTTACAATAAATACTACTTGTCTCACCCTAGATTAAGATTATAAATATTTTAAGGTAAGTAATGAGTGCACTATGTGTGTATTGTACTTTTTTATTGTTTTTTGATGCCTGGTTCTATTGCTAACTTAATATATGTTAGTGTAAACTTGTTATCTAGTGTTTGTATGTATTTGTAAGTGGAAAAAAAGGGTGTTCCACTTTACGGCGGTTTCCGCTTTATGGCGGTAGCCTGGAACCTAACCAGCCGTATAAGTGGGGCCCTACTGTAATGGCACTATTGTCTGTGGAGATAAGACAAGTTAGACGCTGGCTAAATAAAAAGAATTAACACAAGAATGTTCAACACATAGAAAAAAAATGGCAAATGAATGAAAACAAAAACAGCAAAAATACACAAATGCTGGGAGAAAAAAAAAAAACTGAGACAACAATGAGTTGTGATGCAGAATATAATTAACAAGTTACTGAATTACTTCACTGTATAAATTACTAGGCAAGGAACACAATACTGTAAACACAAGATAATTGTGAAGTGTAAACACAAGGTTATACTGCTTTTATATTGCACACAACAAGGAAAAACATTAAAGTACTTACTTCAAGTATATAAAAAAATGAACACAACACAACAGATATAAAAGAAAGCACGAAAATTAACACTGAAGAAAGAGGAAAAAAAATATTGCAAACAGGATATAATGAGCACTGAGTCTAATCAAGAGTCACTGAAAAGAAATGTCACTCAGGAATCACTGCAAAATTGTCTCAACACTCGCAAATGTCTCTATAAAAATAATTATCACTGTAACGACGTTGGTGTAGAATTGAGAGAGATGGTGGTGCAGAAAGGTAGAAATTGGAGTCTTGTGACTGGCGGCGTTCGCTACTACCCTCAACACGTTGACGCCTCGATAAATTTGTGCTTAAATCGATGATGGACTCGCACACTAGGCTTTTACGTAGGCGCACAGGGTCGAAGGAACACACTTGTCTCTTGACCCCCTATGTGGTCCGTAAAATATGGTGCTAGAACCCGTGATAAGGGTAAAAATTACAGTGGTAGTGGTGGTGGTGCGAGTTCTTGAGGCAGCCACGCTGAGACACCGTGTGGTGACTGAGCCTATGGGATGAATGGCGTAAACCACTCTGGGGACACCCGCACTAGGCACGAAAATATTCTAAGCCGGGCTGGCTTAAAAGCAAACCCACAAAATACCACAACACCACATGGATGGTAAAACACTCAGAACATCTAGAACTGGAAGCACAAAGCGATGGAGAAGACTGTACCCATGTGGCTTGCTTGAGTACTGGGTTAAATCACCTGGGTTAGTTGCTGACTGGCTTGGCTTAAACTTTCACACAGACTGGCTTGAGAACTTATAACGATGAGCACAGCAGGGGTGTAAAGCTGGCTTAGCAGGCAAAGCTGGAATGGTGTAGAGCTGGGCTGGACTCATCCCCCACAGACTGGCTTGGTGGCTTGGCTTACTTTGCAAACCCGGGTTGACCCTCGGAAGTAATGCAAATAAGCAAATAAAACACTAATACACACAGACTGACCAGTAAGTAGGAAGCAATAGGCTGGTGAACGCTTGATTGAGGTAGCTGGCTTGGGATTTTTGAGCATCCCCCGTCTCGGCAGGCCTAGCGTCCAGAAAAATGGCGACCAGTTCAGTAGAAATTTATCTTCAGAAATCGCTGTAATCATCAGAATTACAGGCCCTCCACTGTCACCATTTGTCGTGGGGGTTCGTAAGAGATACGAAGGTTGGAGATACACACTTGTTGGATGGTAACACTATATTGCAGAGTGTGAGAAGGGAAAGCCCAAACTGCCCTGTTGCCTGTTGTAGACCTATGCGTGGACTGAGGCCGATGTAGCGCGTCCCACGCACTCATGCCGCATCACGTGACGTCATACAAAGTAGTCACTAGGCCTTGTAAAGGGGTCGTGTATGTAAAACATATGGATGGTACTAACTATGATACTCAGATAAGCTATACAACACATGTAAGGGATCAGCAACTATGCTGACAGTAGATCTAAGATATGGACCCTCAACGTATAGCCGTAGATCTACAGCATGGACCCTCAAAGTGTTAAAAGTAATCAGTCCTTGTAAGCAAACATAGTTTTTGGACATGACTCAAGACTGTGAAACTAAAATATGAACGTTGGTTTTTACTGCAGTGCTTTCTTAGTCTTGGTGGTGGTTTCTGTTTTCTCCTCACTAGTCCAAGCATAGTCTTACATTTGAACATTGTAATTATTGGTGCTGATGCATCTTACAATTTGTTAAATTTGGATAATTGATTTTAACTTAACCTAAATAACATGTATGAAAAAATTGTCTTAAATTCTTGTAGTGCAAAACTATCATCATTAATGTTACAGCTGTAACATTAATGACGTGTTAATGCAGCCTTTTTACATATGAGAAGTTTTCTAGTGATCATTCTTTATCTCTATCTGCTAATATGACCATCACTGTTCCTATTATATCCTTTTCATAAATTCATAAATGTTAACATTTAATAAGATTTTTAACAATCTCAGATGATGCCTTTGTATACCATTTTTAAGGAAATGTTGTATGAGTTTAACCCAGCCCTCTTTAATGTCTTGTGTTATATTTTAGTCTGGTTAACTGACCTGAAAACTATTGAATCACTAATGTACATATTGCTTCTTGCTAACAGATGGCTCGTAAGCGTGAGGAAAGGGCCTTAAGAAATGCTCAGCGTGCTGCAAGAAAAGCTCGTGCCACCCAGGGTGGACAAGATCCAAGTTTTGTTTCGTTAAAGCAGCAGTTAGAGGCTATGGGGCTCAAACTCAAAGAAATCGCTGGTGATGGGTAAGCATTAATAGTTTCTGTATTGTAGCAAAATATTTTAGCACAGTCTCGGTTATCCTAACTTCATGTTGTGATTTTTGTATTTATTACAGAACAAGGGTTACTTCCCTATATCCCTTTGAATACCACTAAGTATTTTTATTGTAAAAGCATAATTTTACATGTTTGTGTTTGAAGAAGAGGTGTACAGCGGAACTTCAGTTTTCGCACGCTCCAGTCATCCGACGTTTCGGTTTTGGGACCTATTTTTGTGCGAAATTTTGTCCCGGATATTGGACCTTGACCCAGTAATCAGACATATAAGCGTCCACCTGGGCCGCTCATATGTTCATGATTTGCTCTTGGGCACATTAACTCTCTTGTTTTACGTTAATATAGACATTTTAATTAATCCATCTATGATATTTTCTTCAAAATTATATATGAAACACGTTACATAGCATATAGCATATAAACATAGCATATAAACAGTGCGAATGGCGAGTTGGGTGGAGAGTAAACGTTACATTTTCTCTGATTCAATGTTAGAAAAAACTGTGAAACTGGTGTCTAGCCCAGTCACCACCCTTTACACGCATTTGTTTACAATTCTCGGCATGAATTATTCATTACTTCTCCCTTTGTTTATGATGGCATCTAAAGGTAGTTGTTAGAAACGATTAAACTTGGTGAACAGGGTATGTTGATGCTAATAATATTGCTCGGTGCCGCATTAAATATCGTGTAGGTGTCTGTAGCCCAGGCTGCCTACTGGCTAGCTAATCCTACTGGCTACCTACCTCTACTGGCTACCTACATCTACCGGCTACTTAGTAAGTTTATTCAGGTATACACAAATACACGTAGTTACATAGAGGGGAAATAAGTGGGAAATGAGCGTGTGCAACCATAAAGTGATATACATGTACTTCCTTGTAAACCAACATAAAAGGAATATCAGTGAGCACCAAATAGAAAAATATGGATTACAGTGTCATATGGAGAGTGCCGGTTAGAACAACAGTTACTCTGGAAATAAGCCTGACCAGCACTAGCGAACTATTGCCAGATGTCGACACAAGTGGAAATAAATAAACAGATATTGAACTATCTATAAGTAATATGGCGAGTGACAAATACATGTATGTATATATATGTGTAGTGACATAGTGAAATAAATTGTAGATACGAGTAATCTAAATTATCCCCAGTATAGCGTAAAATATATGGTGTAGCATATGGGAATATTTACAAGCAACTGGCACTAGCGAACTATTGCCGGAGGTCCAGAGAAGTGGAAATAATGGAGGAATATTTACTACAGTCAAAAGTAATAAAACGAGTGATGGTAGCATTGAGGTGCAGGGAATCACAGTATACATAAATTAAGCATACAATCGAGGAAAAGGCATAAATCTACTGTGTGACGTGTTTTTACCCATTACCTCTCCTAAGTTTACTGCTATAGAAGTGCAGAGGAAAGTTACCATAGGCCTAGTGCCGTGTGAACAATATAACCATCCCAGTGTAGTGCAGTGAAAAGAAAAGTGTATCTTGAACAAATACATTGTATATCCTTGAGATAACCAGTGTACAACACAGTGACAAAATACCAGTGATAAAATAAAAGGAAATAAAATAAAAAACTATTGTGGAGTGTGGCAGTGGTGGGTCAGTCTCCTTGTCCTGGTGTTGACATGTGACAAGTGATACACCAAGGTACGAGTTACCACATATAACAAATAGACAAAAAGGATATAAATAAGCAATGATATAGTAAACTGAACTTATGGATAAGAGTTAATCATTTTAATCCCGAGTGTAGTGTAAACCTATGGTATAATTATATGGGAACAAGTTGAAAGTGCCACCCGCACCCCACCTCCAAGCCCTCGCCTCGTGCCCCCACCCCATCCCTCGCCTAGTGCCCCCACCCCATCCCCCGCCTCATGCCCCCACCCCATTCCCCGGATCCTACCCCACCCATCCAACAATCCCACCCACGGCCTCCCCTCCTCGCACCCTCACCTTCTTTCCACAGACCCCTATCTCCCAGCTTACAACCCTACTGCACAGGCCCCTCCTCCTATTGTCCCTACCCTCTCCCCAAGGATACTCACCACCCAGCCCATCCCACCTACCAGCCACCCCACCACCAGCCGCACATAATAAATACACCATCTACCACATACACCTGTTTTAAAAGTAATCATGGCCAGGAATAAAGGCTGTTGCATATGTGAAAAAATCTTTGGGAGAAACATGAAGGGTATTGATTGTGAAATATGCAGTAAAACATCACATATATCATGTACAAAGCTTCATGCAACCATGGCAAATGACCAAAAACAAGAAAGTCGTTTCTGGATTTGCCCCAGTGAAAGGGACAGCTGGTTAAGCATAAGAGAGGTACTGAAAAGTGAAAACCTAGAAAGCGTAAGGAAGTTTCTAAGGAGCTTGCCAGAGTTATACAAAGAGTGGAAAACAGGGGAAAAGGAACAAGAAAAGGAGGAAAATGCAAATAGAGGTGAAAACCAAGGAGTGAAAGTAAGAGCAAGAGTAGAAAACATCATACAGAGTGTCAGTGGAACGCCTTCCAACTGAACAAAAGAAATTAATGGAAAAATAAATAAATAAAGAAATGATTTAGGAAAAACAAGAAAAATGATTTTTGAGAATTTTACTTAAAATTTAAATATAATAAAAAAAATATGGCCTTCAGTTCTTGTAGTTGGGTAGGAGTAGGTATGGCCCTGGATAGTTCCTCTGATGTTATTTATGTAGGTTATCCTGGGCAGATGGTAATCCGATGTTCTGGAATCTCCTACCACTTGGATGGAGCACAAGTAGAATAGGTAAGGGCTGGTAGTTGTAGAATAATGTTATAAGTATTATTAACATACGTTCTTGCCCCTTTATCTGGCGTCTATCCTGGAAGACCACGCCAGGAACAGAGCTGACAAATAAGAGAAAATAAAACTGGTTACCCATAGTCATGATAATATAACATTTAAGAAAGAAAAAGAATGATAAATGCCAAAATCATTACTGGTAACCAGCAAACACTAGAAAAGAACAAACAGTAATACTCCTGGTAGATCACCCTACCTGATTAGGAGAAGAGTGGAGGCGAAGTGACTCTCCAAACTTCAGTCCACACCAGGTAAGGTCAATATTACCAAGAGTAGAAACTAACAAATCGGACACCAGGAACTAGTTTTGCCCCAGCCCGCCAGAGAGGGGGGGGGGTGAGTGCGCGCGCAACGTAACTCGCTAATGGTTCCTGGTTGCCCGAACAACCTTAACCCCACTTACACCTACTTTTTCCCTCACAATACCCCCTTCCAAACTTATGGACGGAGTCAATAAGTCAACGAACAGAGGGAAAAGCACTAAATACAACCTCGGCTCAGCCAATCTGAAAAGTGGTTTTCAGAGCCAGAAATATAAACGACTTTAAACTTATAGGGCTGAATAGCCAGAGCCCATCTCAAGAGTCTGCTATTTGACCCTTTAAAGTTTTCCAAGTACATCAGTGGCTTGTGATCTGTTTCAAGCACAAAGGGTTTACCGTATAGGTAGTAATTTAAATCTACTTATACCCCATACTAAAGCATAACATTCTTTCTCCACAGTGGAATATCTTTCTTCTCTGGGCAGAAGCTTCTTACTGGCGAAAGATACTGGGAAAGGTGTTCCTCATAATATTGAAGAAGGCCCAAAAAAAATGGGGGCCCATTTTCGGGAAAAAATTTTATTTTTCAGAAACGCTGAAAATCTCAAAAATTAAGGGCCCCCCCGTCACCTTTTGTCGGGGGGGTTCGAAAAGAGTACGAAGGTTGGAGATACACACTTGTTGGATGGAAAACACTAATTGCAGAGTGTGAGAAGGGAAAGCCCCAAACTCCCCGTTCCCTTTTTGTGGGACCTTGGGGGATGGGGGGCCGTTTGTAGGGCGTCCACGACTCATCCCGGGCATACGTGACGTCAAAACAAAGTAGTACGGGCCTTGAAAAGGGGGGTGTATGTAAACTTAGGGAGGGTTTAATTAACTTTTTGATATCGAAAACCTATACAAAAAATGAAAGGGATCAGCAAACTTTTGCTAAACAGTTGATCTAAGTAGGGGGACCCCCAAAAAGGATAGCCCTTTAGATTACGAAAGGGGACCCCCCAAAGTTTTTTAAAAGTAATCAGTTTTTGTAAAAAAAACATAGTTTTTGGACTTTGACTAAAGCCCCCTGTGAAACAAAAAATTAAACCCGTTGGTTTTTTGCTTTTGCTTTCTTATTTTGGGTGGTGGTTTCGGGTTTTCCCCTCACTGTAAAAGCATAGTTTTTCCCTTTGAACATTGAAAATTTTTGGGTTTGCTGATGAAAATTTTTAAAATTTTTAAAAATTTGGGAAATTGTTTTTTTAAAATTTAAAATAAAAAAATTTGTAAAAAAAAATTGTTTTAAAATTTTCTTGTAGTGCAAAATATCTTTTTTTTAAGGGTTTCGCTGAAAATTTAAGGGAGTGTTTAATTCCACCCTTTTTTTAATATGAGTTTTCAAAGTGATCATTCTTTATTCAATTGTTTTAATTTTCCCACCTTTCCTTTTACCCTTTTTTAATAAATTCAAAAATTGTTAACATTTAATAAGATTTTTAAAAATTCGGGTTGTTTTTTTTCCCATTTTTTAAGGAAATGTTGTATGATTTTTAAACCAGCCCTCTTTAATGTTTTGTGTTATATTTTTTTGGGTTTAACTGCCTAAAAAACTATTGAATCATAATGTACAATTGCTTTTTCCCCCGTGGTAAAAAGCTTGAGGAAAGGGCCTTAAAAAATTTGCCCCGGGCGTGCTGCAAAAAAAGCCGTGCCCCCAGGGGGGAAAGCCCCCAAGTTTTTGTTTGTTAAAGCAGCAGTTAGAGGTTTTGGGGGGCTAAAACCAAAAGGGAAATGCGGGTGATGGGTATGCATTAATAGTTTTGTATTGAAAGAAAAATTTTTTTTGCCGGGCCCTGGTTTTTTCAAA